TCGATGCCGTCCTCGGTTGCCAGGCGCGACAAGAAGTTGTAGACGTGCGTAAAGATGGCGAGCATCGGGCGGCGATAGAGGAAGACCTGGACCCAGCAGCCCACCAGAGAGGCTAGCAGGGAGCGGGTGGTGATCCCGAGGTAGATTTGGATCAGGGTCAGCCTGCACAGGGCCACCGTCCGCACAAGAGGAGCGCAGACGATGCCTATGCGCCCCTCCACCTCGGCGCCCACCACTACCTTGTGCGTTTCGCCGCGCGCGCGCTTGCCTGGATGCTGTATCAGGCCCACGCGCGGGTAACCCGCATCACAGGCGGCAAAGACCTCACGATCACGGCGACACGGGTCGTCGGGGCGAGGAGCGGAGCCACGCCACGAGAGCTTCTGAAAACCTGTATGGTCATCAATATTCAGCATCTCGACAAACGGGCCCCGCGGGAAGGGCGAGCGGTGGACAACCTGCTCGTGAGGCCGCAAAGCCCCGAAGCTGTGCAAGACGCCTTCATGCGCAGAGTTGGCAATCTCCACAGCCATGTTGTCGCCCATCGCCAGAGCATTGAGGCAGGGCGCGACATCCACACCTTCCAGCTCGGGGCGCCAGGCTCGAAAGGCCTTGAAACGCGAGGATGGCAGGCGAACGCGCAGGGCGTTACGTCTGGCGCGCGCGGGGGGGACGCGGAAAGTATAGTAAAACTCCCGTAGGTCGTCACAAGAAACTGCCAGCCACTCCCCAGGTGCCAGCCCCAAACGGCACAGCAGGAAACCTTGGCCAAGGCGCTGGGTGCTGGACGAAATTGAAGCACAGCGGCTGTTCACGACCGTGGGGTTCAGGATCAGCCTGTCGAAATCGCTGTCCTTCGGTACCCTGAAAGCTCCACAGGCTTCATCCCAGGCGAGGTCCGAAGCAGGAGTCAGGTACAGGGCGCCGCAGGCATCCCACTTCTGGAGTAGGGCCCACAGCTCGGCGCGGTCCATATGGACGCGCGCACCCTTCTGGCCAGCAGGCCACTCTGATGCCGGTAGCCGCATAACCTCAGGATCGATGAAAGCTTCGCGGACTCGAGCGTCAGAGAGGAAGGGAACGGGATCAAACTCTGGCGAATAATCCCACTTGATGCGAGACGCCCTGACTTTCAAATCGAAGGGCTCGGCCTGGGTGGAGTCCCAAGCCGCCGCAGTCGCCAACGACCCAGGCACAGGAGGAGCGCCGGTCGGGCAGTGCCGCATGGGGGCGGGTACGGAAGAAGAGGAGGTGAAAGAGGCCTCCAAAGCTGCAACATGGGTGGCCAGGCCATGGAGCGAGACCTCAGTGGAGTCGAACTTGGCGAAGGCTCGACCTAAGTCGCTCTTGCCGCCACGGGCGAGGCGAACTGCGATCCGACACAACCGTTCGATACGGGTGCGGACGCCCTCCTGGCAGGGCGAGACCGTGGCGCGGACGCGAGCCTCGGCGGGAGCGAGGCTGGGGTGACCCAAGGTGAGCCAGTTCAACGCAATAACCGAATACTGCGCGAGCGTCCGCGCCGCGCGCCGCAGTCTCCAGCGCTCCCTGCGCCTCGCCGACAAGCCGTCAGGCGGGGGACCAAGAGGTGGAGCAGGCGGGCACGGCCAAGGATCGCGGGGAGGCGGCCCCAAAAGGTACGGGCCGTCCCTGTCCATTGCACGCATAGATGAGCGGGAGAAAGATCCAAGAGAACATCGAGCACCCATCCCAACCTGGGACAGCGCTGCTGCCCAGTGGGTGATATCAATGTTCGCGCCTGGGAACAGGCGCAGCAAGGCAGACAAGTCAGCGACGAATGGCGCGACTTTGGCAAGAGCAGCAGGGGTGCTTGAAGGAGAACAGGCACCAGCAGGGACACCAACCTCAGGAGCTGCAGGCCCCCTGGAGGGCGCGCTCGACTGAGGCAGGCGTCGGCCAAAATGGCCGAAGGGATCCGAGAAGCGGTTCGGAGCAGAGCGAAGGGCGTGGTGGCGGAACGTACTCCTCCCTGCGGGGCCGCAACAGCATCGCTGGAAGAGCGCATTCCTACCCTCACGCCCTCGCTGTGCCCAAACGCGCCTAGCAACCGCAACAGCGTCGGTGCAGTCTGTGTGCGGCGGCGTACCCCGGCCCCGCGAAGGTCCACCCTTCCAGGAGGCGGGCGCCAAAGGCGCCTTCAGTCCTTCTTGGGCACCGCCTTCGGTGCCTTGGAAGCACCCTGGGACTTGAAGGGCTGCTTCGAAACCTTGGGCTGCTTGGGCTGGTGAGGTGGATGCTTGGGGAGCGCGACGGCGCGCTCGGCGTCGAGACGCGCCCGAAATGCTTGCAGCTCCTTCACGTATTCGCCCTGCGCCGACAGCCAGCGAGGATCCACCAGGGGTGAAAACGGGGTCTGGGCCTCGCGCTCCGTGTGACGACTGGTCACGCGACACGGGGGAGGCTCCAGTCCCGTGAGGAACCAGGCGGCTTCGAGATAGCCGCGGTCCCCCGCCAGCTGGTCGATGAACATACACTGACACGTCAGAAGAGTCTGGACTCTCTCGGGGTTGCCCTCCTCGCAGGCCCGCCACAGCTCGGCGCTGAGGAAGGCGAAATGCGTCAACAACTCGTGCGTCGTCGGCTGAGCCCCCAAAGGACTGTGCTCCCGAAAGTACTGATGCATGGCCATGGGGGTCACGGCGCTGACTTCCACGCCCAGAACGCGGGCCAAATTCTCCTTCATCAGCCCTCGCACGTCGGGGCCGTGCTGTATCAGCGCTTGCTGCCACTCGCGCCTCCGAGCAATGCCCCCCATCTGAGCCGATGCGGGCGCGGGGTCGCCCGAACTCGCGGGCGGAGATTGAGCTGAGTCGCTCAGGGTCCCCAGCAGCGGATGGACGGTTGGGCGATGGCCCCGCCCCTGCTGCAGAAGGAGGGACTGGTGCAGGCACTGTAGCATGAGGCTGAGGTCCGTCGGATTGGCCGCATGGGGCGGCTCTGACCCGTCGGCGCCGCCCACCTCGGCAAAGCCGTCGGCCGCAGCGGGATGGGCTAGCCCAGGTGGCGGCGGGGGACCCATCGTTCCGAAACCGGACGAAGGGGCCCGAGGGACAGCAAGAGAGCGCGCCTTTTCCCACGCCGAGACCAGCGCGGAGGTCGGACCCTTGGGACGCGCGGAGACCCGCTGTGGAGCCACGGGCGCGTGGGACAGGGCGGCCTCGATCCCCGCAGGATCCAGCCCGAGGCGCACCGCTTCGTCGCTGAAAAGCTGAGGCACCTCGGGCCGATCGCTCCGAGCAGCCGGAGCGGAGCCCAGCGGCTCGGGTCGGCCGACCATCGTGGAGGCCGCGTGGGCTGCAAGCAAAGCGCGCATTTCGGCAGCTACTTCGGCACGAGTCATAGGAGCCCCGTCGTCCAGAGCCGCCGCAGGGGCACCAGGAGCGATCGGAGCGGGACCCGCGACCCGTGGCGGCGCGGCTGTGGCCGCGCGCTTCGCGGGCGGGCCGCGCGGCGCTCCAGCGTCCGCGGGAGATCGCGCACTTGGGGCCGTGCGTTCGGCTTCCTCGTCGGCCGCGAACCCTTCGGGCTCCTCCATCTCGTCGGCAGAGTGATAGGGAGTAGCCCGATCGGCCCCTGGGAGCGGCTCTTCCCCTGCGGTAGGCGGGGCGCCGTGCAAGCGTGCGTAACCCTCGCGAAGCACCCGAACCCCTGAAGGATGAGGCCAATAGACGCGGCCCCGCACCTCGGCGAAGGGAACGATGGCTGCGTCCTCGCCGACCTCTAGAGGGTAAAGCGACTCGAGCTCGAGCTCTGCAACCTCGATATCCACGACGAGGACGGATGCAGTAGTGGCGAGCGGCCGCGAAGCGGCCCCCTGGAGCTGGACGTCCACTAGCTGGAAAGGGCCTATCATCCCAGCAAAACCCCCCGCCTCGGCAGCCTCGAGCTCCGCCGTAGGGCGAAAGGCGCCAGGCAGGGCCAGAAGGATGCCCCCTTCTCGAGACGCGAGGGGGATAGCTGCCCAGCTGGTGTCGCCGTCGTCTAAACGCCATCGTGCGTAGCCGCGAGCCGTGGGAGCCGCGAATGGGTAGAGCTCGGGCCATAGAGGCCCTCCGCCGACTGGTGGCAGCTCGGCCATCAATGGGTGCTGCCGTGGGAGCTGCTCCCCGAATGCTGGGCGTCTGCCCGCTCGAGCGCTCGAGGCCGAGGCGGAACCCCGTAAGCCAGCGCTCGCGCCGCACGGCGGTCCTGCCCAAGGGAGGCAGGCACCGCTCCGCGCGGCCAGACGGAGGCCCTGAGTCTCCGCCACACGTGCGGGCCCAGCAGCCCGAAGCAGCAGCCTGCGCAGGCGCTGCACGCGGCCGTCACCCAAAGGAGGGCGACGACCGTGCTGAGCAGCCAGGGAGAGACCCCGCCGCTCAGATCCACCGCCAGCCCGAGGCAGACGGTGGGGCAGACGGAACCCGCCGAAGGGAGGGGACAGTAAGCCCCCTCACCCTCGGACGAGTCCGCCTGCTGGATGGACCAGGCCGGCGCAGGAGGCCTTGGGTCCTGAAGCACAGAGAGGGGGGCGGACACGAGCCGCTCGTAGAGCGCGGCCCGCAGCCCCCTGAAGAAGATCTCCCCAGCGCCTCCGAGAGCCGCTTGTGCGAGCGCCTGCATAAGGCGTCCGCACGCGCGGCCGACGGGGGGGCACTTGGGCAGAGAAGCTGCGGAGACAGCAGGAGCTTGCTCACAGAGAATAGAAGAAGCATGCTGCTGATGATGACTACGGCGATGATGATGATAGGTTGTAAGGATAAAGAAACAATTGATATGGAGAACGATTGAGAAGCGGAGCAAGAACATGCAGGATGCTGAACAAGAGCAAGAAACGGAGAGGCGGACGCGGGGGTATGGTGCCACCCCTGGCATGGGGATACTAAGGGAGACTAGGAGTCGGGCAGACGGGCAAGATGAGAAGGAGGAGGGAGACGAAAGAGGGACGAAGGGAACTAGGACGCAAAGACAAGGACTCAGAACGGAAACAACGTGTAAGCCTGGACATTGGCCGGTTGATGTGCTTGACGAAGCCGTCTCCTGCACGGTTCCCGCCATTCTCCATCTGAGCTCTCCCTGCCCACATCCACGAACCTTACACGTAGGACATCCTCGTCCGCATCGTGCTGCGGTGCATCCTCCCGAACCTCCTTATCGTCCTGCTCCTTGTCCTCGCCTTCGTTTTTCTTCCATTGCTCCCTCTCCTCCGCCTCCCCATCCTCCTTCCGAGTTCTGCCACGGCGAAGATCGACCAGCAGAACCTTCAGGATTTCTGGCGGAGAAACACCAGGGCGGAGAACAACGTATGCTCCCCCATCATCCGATTCCTGTTCCGCTGCTACTCGCATTTCTTCTTCTACTCCGACTGCCCATCGAACTCCTAGTTCTGACCATATTTCTAGTCCGACTGGATGCATCAATTCACCGCGCGCGAGCCGCGAGATATGTGCCACGCCTGCCGTCTCGAGCGGTGCCACGGCGAGAATCGCGTGGAGATTGACGGGCAAATTTCCCACCACCACTGCTATATCTAGGATGGGAGGAAAGGGAGGAGGAGGAGGAGGAGGAGGTCCTCCTCCTCCTCCTCTTCCTCCTCCTCCTCATCCCTCTACTACCTATGGTAGTGACCTATGGTAGTGGTGGTGGGAAATGGGCCCACCAAAGATCGTGGTGGCCCTCATGACGACCGAGCTGCGTAGGCTGACGCGCCAACCCTTGGGGCAGACCGGGGCGGTGACCACGGCCAGACAGGCGCCCCCCGCGGGGTACATGTACCTGCAGGAGGAGCTGGGAGCGTACGCCGACTTGCGGGACGGTGCCCGAGGAGGCCCGCCAGCAGGAGGAGTGAGGGAGCTAAGCTTAGGTCGGGCGTGCCCTCCTACAGGAGGATTTTGAACGAAAAACTAAAAAAATGGTCAGTAACTACCAGTAAATCATCAAACATAGCCCCCCAAAAAAGTCCCCAGACGATTTTTCACTATTTTTGAATATTCTTCCTGTAGAGGGACCGGCCCGACTTAAAGCTAAGCAATTCGGATGTCATTTCGGGGAGGGAAAAACACCTCCGAACAGAGGAGGCCAGCGTTCGCTCGAGAGCTTCGGGGTTTCGGCGGCGCCCTGGCTGAGGGCGCGACCGCGGGAGCTCCCTTCTTAGTCCGTCGAGGGGCGGGCTTTGTCACCCAAACCAAGGGACCACGCTTCTGTGGCGTGACAGCGAGGCGTTAGCGAGCAGACCTGAGCGTAAAGTAGGAAGTTCTTTTCACTGGCGACCGAGTTCAAACATCGCGAAACGGCTCTCGAAGCTGCCTGATCAAACAAAAGTGGCTGGTCCAACGGGCCAGAGGCGTGCTAAGATCTCCGGTAACTGCCTTGGAAGATTTCTAGTTCGCGCGCGCGTGGCAACCCCTGGACGAAAACTTGTCCAGCAAGTCCCCAACAAGGGGCCGGCAAGGTCCCGGGAGGACACTCGCGAGTCAGAGATGGTTTCGCCCCTGGGCCATCGGACTTAGCGAAGCGATTCAATCATTTCTGACCGAGCGTGTGTGCTGTTCCCAGACATGCGACGTCCTGATGTTTTCAGGACCCTTTCTCCAGGACAGTTTTTCGTCCTGACTCGTTGTTTGACGGTCCCGAGGCCCGGCGAGGGCCCCCAGGTGCCGAAAATGGTCAGACACCTCCCGTCTTTTACGGCGCGATCGTGTCTGGGTACTCCAGATTACGTAATAAAAGGGAGGGGGTCACAATCCTCCCAGACCACAAGTTTTAGACCCCCCCAGACCATCCATGAAAGGGCGGCACTTTGCCCAGACCCCCCCTAACCCTTCAAGACAGCTCAAATCAGACCCCCCCCCAAATGTGACCCCCCCGACTTTATGATGGAATCCAGAGTACGGTGGCCCTCGCACCCCTCGCCCCTGGAGGCTCCCGTCTGCTGCCACCCGAGGAAGAGGACCTTCCCGGACTGCCGCGCGTCGGCGGAGGCCAGCTGCGCACGGGGGGCCGCGGCACGGGGCGCGGGGCATCGGGAGCTCCTCCTGCTCCTCCTCCTGCCTCTCCTCCTCCTCCTCCTCCTCCTCCTCCTCCTCTCCTCCCTCCTCCGTCCTCCTCCTCCACCTCCTCCTGCCCCACCTGCTCCTCCTGCTCCTGCTGCTGCTCCTCATCCTCCTCCTCCTCCTCCTGCTCCTGCTCCTGCTCCTCCTCCTCTCCTCCTCCTGCTCCTCCTCCTCCTGCTGCCTGCTCCTCCACCTCCTCCTCCCTCCCTCCTCCTCCTCCTCCTCCTCCTCCTCCTCCTGCTCCTGCTCCCTTCCTGCTGCTGCTCCTCCTGCTCCTTGCTCCTCCACGCTCCTCCTGCTCCTCCTCCTCCTCCTGCTCCTCCTCTCCTCCTGCTCCTGCTCCTGCTCCTGCTCCTGCTCCTGCTCCTCCTCCTCCTCCACCTCCTCCTCCCTCCTGCTCCTGCTCCTGCTCCTGCTGTTCCTCCTCCTCCTCCTCCTCCTCCTCCTCCTCCTCCCCTCCTGTTCCTCCTGGTCCTCCTCCTCCTGCTCCTGCTCTCTGCTCCTCCTCCTCCTCCTCCTCCTCCTGCTCCTCCTCCTCCTGCTCCTGCTCCTCCACCTCCCCCTCCTCCTCCTCCTCCTCCTCCTCCTCCTCCTCCTCCTCCTCCTCCTCCTCCTTCTCATCGCCCCTCCTTCTCGCCCCTTGTCCTCCTCCTCCTCCTCCTCCTCCTGCTCCTGCTCCTCCTCCTCCTCCTGCTCCTGCTCCTCATACGCGGGTGCAGCAGTTATGTTGATTCGCGGTGTTGAAATCCGAAAAAATAGCACACTGGCACGATTTCGGATCGTCAAGACGCAGCAGTCAGGTTGATACGTGGCGTTGAAATCCCGAGAACAATGTTTTGGCATGCTGCAAGATCTCCAAACGGTTGTCTTCCAACGCGGCAGTTCCCTCAATAGACATGAACCGCTGTGGGGCCTATGACGAGGGAGCTTGGGGGAGGGTCAATTCCAACATCGTTTGTGACTCTTGGTTTTACACTGGTCCTCCAGCTCCTCCTCCTCCTCCTCTTCCTCCTCCTTCTTCTCCTCCTCCTCCTCCTGTCGCTGCTGTGGGGGGGAATGAGCGGAGAGGAGAACACGGACGAGGACGGAGGCGAAAGGGGCCTTGGAGGAGAGGCAGGAGAGGGACAGACAGACAAGGCAATATGCTGCTGAGGCGAACCAAACGGTCGCGGGAGGCGGGGGGGGGGATGAATGGGGAGAATATGGACGAGTACGGAGGCGAAAGGGGCTTTGGAGGAGAGGCGGGAGAGGGACAGACAGACAAGGCAACACATCACAGCGGAGCTCAAGTGGCTCGAGTGGCGACAGGGCCTGGCTCACGTGTGTCAGCATCCCCTTCAGCAAGCGGGAGGGGGATGAGGAAGAGGCAGGATGCGGGGGGAGAGGAGGAGCAGGTGGAGGCAGGACAAGGGAAGTGGCACACAATGATGAGGAATCTGATGAGGCAGGACGACGGTGAGGGTGATGAGAGGGAGGTGCAGGGGGCAGAACACGAGGACGGGGTAGGAGGATCAAGGGGAAGACGATGGGCGAGGAGGAGGGCGAGGGAAGCATGGAGAAGGAAAACGGATCATGAGGCACGAGGGGGCGGCATTTGGAACCGGGAGGACAAGCAGGAGGAGGGCGGGGACTGGTGCCGAGGACGCGGCGGGAGGCGGCCAACGCGGCCAGCAGGCGCAGAGCCCGAGAGCTGCAGCGGCCGAGGGTGGGGGAGGCCGCGTGCCACCCCGGGCCCCAGAGGGGGTGCCGGAAGGCTCCAGGAGCGCGTCGAGGCAGAGGGGTGGTGGCGAGCGCTGGAGTCTAGCGCGCCCGAAGAGGACCAGCACTGCTGCGCCAGGAGCAGATCCCAGGAGGGAGGTCGAACGCCAGAGAACAAGATCTCCGACGTGCAGGCGAGATGCGGGAGTTTGGTGCCCAACGTGAGGGCCTCAGCGGGAACTTGGAGGGAGGGATTGTTGCAACATCGTTGATGTGCCTTGTGCTTAGTCTGAATTCCTTCTCCTCATAAGTAACTTCTCCCTGTCGCACCCCGAGGCCAGTTTTTAGGGCGGGCCGGGCGTTTCGCCTGAGACCTCCTCACCACTTATGACTCTGGAGCTTTAAAAGTGACAACCGTTTCACAGATGGAGGGCGGGTCGTTTTCAAATGTGGCTCTCGCCTTAGCGCCGCGCACACTCGCTTCAAAAATTTGCAAGAGTTTTGCGGATTGAGGGCGGGTCGTTTTCAAAATGTGGATCTCGCCTTAGCGCCGCGCACATTCGTTTCAAACATTTGCAAGAGTTTCACGGATCGAGGGCGGTTCGTTTTCCAAATGTGACTCTCGCCTTAGCGCCGCGCACATTCGTTTCCAACATTTGCAAGAGCTCCACGGATTCCAATGTTAGAAGGATTCAGGACTTTGCGGGTGCAACAGTTATGTTGATTCGCGGTGCTGAAGTCCCCCAAATAGCACACTGGCACGATTTCGGATCGTCAAGACGCAGCAGTCAGGTTGATACGTGGCGTTGAAAACCCGAGAACACTGCTTTGGCATGCTTCAGGATCTTCAAACGGTTGTCTTCCAACGAGGCAGTTCCCTCAATAGAAATGAACCGCTGTGGGGCCTATGAAGAAGGAGCTTGGAGGTTGGGTTAATTCCAACATCGTTTGTGACACTTGGTTTTACATTGGCCCTCCTCCTCCTCCTCCTCCTCCTCCTCCTCCTCCTCCTCCTCCCTCCTCCCTCCCTCCCTCCCTCCCTCCTCCTCCTCCTCCTCCTCCTCCTCCCTCCTCCTCTCCTCCTCCTCCTCCTCCTCCTCCTCCTCCTCCTCCTCCTCCTCCTCCTCCTCCTCTCCTCCTCCTCTCTCTCCCCCTCCTCCTCCTCCTCCTCCCCCCTCGACACGCCGTCGCTGTCGTCGTCGATGGTCGTCCCCGCTCTCGCGCCAGCGGCGGCCACGCGGCCTTCAGCTGCACGACGTGCACCACGCGCAGCAGCAGGGGCACGCCGCCGTCCATGCGGGACCACAGCTCCAGCACCGTCTCCTCGTTCTCCAGCTGGCAGGCAGGGGCGGCCCACTGGCGACGACGACGACGACGACGACGACGAAGACGACGACGACGACGACGACGACGACGACGACGACGACGACGACGACGACGACGACGACGAGGCGATCATTGTCTGCTTTCGTGCACGCGCGGGGGCGCCCGCCGCAGCTCTGGGGGCTCGCGATGGCCACGCGCTCACCCCGCGCCGAGGTTGGAGTCCTGCGTGAAGGGCACGGTCAGACCTACGACGGAAGAACACCCTGCAAGAAAATGAGACCCTCCGCCGGCCAAGACGCCCCAAACCATGAGACCACTCGAGGGTACCCTCCCCCAGGATGCACAAGTGCATCCAACAAGCACGAAGAATGCTCGGGCACCCTCCCCGAACCAACCTCGATCTTATACCTCGGTCCGACCGCACAGCAAGTTCGCGTCGTGTCGACCCCGGCGTTGGTTAATCACTGACACCGCGGGGATCGTTCAACCTTGAACGGTCGGCCGTATCCGAAACGTCAGATCCTTCAACGTCGACCGATTCTGCGTCGCCAGCGGTGTACAAGGAATCACCGCCGGTTGACAGCTGCCGTTCCAGAGCACTGCTGAGCGCTCTGAGAACGTTGTACAACCCTCGTCAAAATGAACCTCAAAAATGTCTTACGTGGCTGAACTGTTTGTGGGGAGATACTGGACAGAGTTGCGGTGACTGCGAGGTACTTGTATGCGCCGCCCCTCCAATGTCGGTCATCATCGAACATCCGAGTCGTTCCCGGTCAGACCACTCTTGCCTCGGCCCCGACATTGGAGGGGCGCCTATCGACATTGCAGGGCGCGCCGACATCGCAGGGGCGTGGTCGCCATTTTTGAGGCTGATCTTGACGAGGGTAGAAGGAGCACTGTGGAATTCGTTCCTGGCCCTGGGTCGGGCGTGCCCCCCTACAGGGGGATTCTGGGCGAAAAATTAAAATAGTCGAACAATATTCCAAAATGGTATTTAAAAACAATCCAAAAATCGTCCCCATACTATTGTTTGACTATTTTTGTGTAGAGGGACATGCCCGACTGAACACTCTGGCCCCGCCCGGCACGCCGCTGCTCCCGTGGCCGCCGTGACTCCAGATCCGCCCTACTTTGGGTTTTTTTCCAACTTAAAATTGCGTCGGAAACCCACCTATAAGAAGCCGAAAAAGTAGGGCGGAAATATCTGCACCCAACATAAAATAAGGCGAAGATCCACAGAAGTAGGGCGGAAACAAAAGCAGAAAAGTAGGGCGGAAATTGGCATCAACGGGGCTTGAAAAGTAAGGCGGAAATTCCAAGCCCTACTTCCGAATTTCCCCAAAGTAGGGCGGATCCGGAGTCAGGGCGCTCCCAAGGGCGCGCTCCGGCCAGCATTCTCGGGGCGAGCCCAGGGGGGGCGAGCCCAGGGGGCGACGGAGGAGGGGGGGTGACGTTCGGGGGGCGCGTGTCCGTACGTACCCTTTGTGAGCGTTCGGGAAGCTCGCCTATATTACATTTGATCATCCGTGGCTTCTGAAACGGTCCTCCCGGAAGAAACAAAAAAACATCCCGGAATAAAAACCTCGGCGCGCTGCGGAGCGCTCCGAGAACGTTCTAGGAGCATGCTCAAGAACTCCACGGTGCACCGTGGAGTTCTTCAGGGCGTGCATCCCGTAGCCTGGCCCCGCCCGACACACCGCTGCTCCCGTGGCCTCTCCCGGGGTGCGCTCTCCGGCCAGGCTTCTCGGGCGGCGAGCCCCTGGGGGGGCGACGGAGGAGGGGGGTGGCGGTACAGTCGGGGCGTGGACCTAAGGAACCCTAAATAAGGAACGAGGCCCCTTTCATCCACAAGTTGAACTTCGATTTCCCATCGAAAACCAAAGGGAAATCCAAGGCAAACAGTGAAGCAATCAAGGAACACCGAGCCCCTCCCCAACGAAAAGGGTTCCTTCTTCAGCGCCCCGACTGTATGGGCTGTCGGAAGCTGGGCGACGTTTATGGTGGTCCAACCTTCTCTCGCCTTGATCACCAGAAAGGATTTCGAGCACCGGAACGATACCCGATACCCAAGAACTCGAGGGGGTTCACGTGTCGGGCCCTGGGAGACACGCGGCCGACACTGTTTCGACACTTCTCCAGGTGCTCGAGATTATTTCTGGGATGTGGTCCTTAAGTACGATGGGGGCAACATAAGGCGAGGGCTGGCAAATCCGTGGCTACTAAAACGGTTTTCCCAGAAGAAATAAACAAATTCCCGGAATAAAACAAAACTCAGCGCGCTGCATAGTAATAACGGGCTGCTTCCCAGAAGAAAAGCAACAATTTCCCGGAGCTCCGTTTAAGCAGCCACGGGTTTGCCAGCCTTCGCCTGGCTTCTGAGGCTAGAAAGCAGAAAATCCCTCCAGAATGATCACCCCGACACGCGAAGCGGTCTAGCAAACGCACCCACAGAAGGAGCCGACCAGGGCAAAGCTGTTCAGTAAACGCCCAGGGCCGTTTAGTAAACGCCGATGGTCGGGTCCGGGTGTTTTTTCCTCCCTTGGATTGGCATCTCTTCCTCTGACCTCGAAGCTCGAAGCTGCGGACAAGCTTGCGTCGGCGTGCCAATGCCCTCGCGGCCCTCCCCCCCGCCGTCTGCGGGGGGAGGGCGAACAAAAACCGCGAGGCCAGCGAGAGCAGAAGGGGCACGACGGATCCGGCCGGTCGATGCACTCCTCGGGCCCGCCCGCCCCCCCCCCCCCCCCGCCTTCCCCTCCCGCCGCCCGGCGCCGCGCAGGGCGCCATGGCGGGCGGGCGCGCTCCTTCCACTCCGTCGTCGTCCTCGTCGCCGTCGTCCTCGTCGCCGTCGCTCACCTCGTCGTCGCCGTCGCCGTCGTCCTCGTCGCCGTCGCCGTCGCTCACCTCGTCGCCGTCGTCGTCGCTCGCCTCGTCGTCGCCGCCGCCGCCGTCCTCGTCGCCGTCGTCGCGGTCGCCCCGCCGCGGCCCTCGCCGTCGTCGCCGCCGCCGCCGTCGAGGGCCCTGCGCCCCCCGAGGGCGTGGGGGCGAGCGGGCCTCCTTCCAGAGCGCCTGCACCGTCTTCCACCCGCCCTGGCGGGGAGGAGGAGGAGGAGGAGGAGGAGGAGGAGGAGGAGGAGGAGGAGGGAGGCGGAGAGGAGAGGTAGGGAGGAGGAGGAGGAGGAGGAGGAGGAGGAGGAGGAGAGGGAGGAGGAGGAGGAGGAAGGGCCGCGGCCAGGCGGCCGTGCGGCAGGGCGCGGGGCGGGCAGGGGGGGGGAGGAGGGTGGGCAGGGGGGCTCGGCGGCGCTCTGGCTGCTCGTCGACGCGTGCCGCGCGCGCGGGGGGCTGCACCGCCGCTGCCGCGCTCTCCCGTGGCTCTGCCCGTGCTCCTGCTCGCGGCGCGCACCGCCAGAGGCGGCGGAGGGCTTGAGAGATCCACCTGCCCAACAAAAAGGGGAGGTGGGGGGAGGGGCTGTGGTGGTGGCTGTGGCCACTGCATCCAGTCGGCCCGTATCGCAAGGATGCGCGATAAGGACGCAAGGGCCCTGGACGCCCATTTCCAGGCTTTTCGAGCGGGGTGCGGCCAGCGAGAGTGGCCAAGGATGGACCGAGGAGGCAAGGATGCAAGGGGGGTACCCTTGGGAAGGTTGCCCATCCTTACTCTGCGGGCTGACTGTAAGGGAAACAGGTCCCGAGCAGAGCAACACGCACCACGACCACGACGACGCCGACCACAACAATGGAGACGTGGAGCGCAGACGATCCGCACCGAAACACGGAGCAGGGAGAGAGCCCACCCTGCAGGTTCGGTTAAACAGCACATCGTGGAGCGGGAGGGGGAGGGGAGGAGGAGAAGATTTCGGAGTTGGAGGTGGGGGAGGTGGGGGGAGGGGGAGGAGGAGAAGATTTCGGAGTTGGAGGTGGGGGAGGTGGGGGGAGGGGGAGGAAGAGGAGCACTACTGCCGCATATCTCGCTTTTATCCTCTCGCACTCGTCCTCTTGGGTTTTTTGTGCGTCCGTCCCTACAAGAGTTCAACTTGTTGAGGAAGGCAACAGCCCCGTCGCTGACCGCTTGCCTATTTCTGTCGTCGCTAAGCCTACGTCGGCCTCGCATGTTTTATCTCACAGAAGGCTTCAGCCTCGTCGCTAAAGTCCGACCAAAAAAAGAAGGGGGAGACGGAGGAGGAGGAGGAGGAAGAAGAGGAGGAAGAGGAGGATGAGAAGGAGGAGGAGGAGGAGGAGGAGGGGGGAGTAGGGACGAGGAGGAGGAGGAGAGGAAGGAGGAGGAAGGGAGGAGGAGAGGAGGAGATGAGGAGAAGCGGGAGGAGGAGGAGGAGATGAGGAGGATAGAGGGAGAGGGAGGAGGAGGAGAGGAGAGGAGGAGGAGGAGGAGGAGAGGGGAGGGAGGGGGAGAGGGACGAAAGGAGGAGGAGGAGGAGATAGGAAGGAGGAGGAGGAGGAGGAGGAGGAGGAGGAGGAGGAGGAGGAGGAGGAGGAAAAGGGCGTGGCAGCTCGGAGGATCTCGGGCTGGCTGCCACCTCGGTCGAAAGTCTGTCCGACTGCAAGCTGTATCAAACTACACATCGAGTGATGACGTCCCATTCTGGGAGGCCCTTTGCCTAAAGTAACCATCTTCGCACTTCGCGGTCCGCGAAGCGCGATCCTCTTCGCGCTTTCGCGCTGCCCCCCCCCAAAAAAAAACCCACAACAGGATGAGGGACTCGCGCCTCGCTCCGAAATCCCCCAGGCAGCGAAGCGCGACTAGCTTTGCACCCTCGTGGTGGCCCTAGCGGTCTGGGAGGCCTCTTGCTCCCCTGGTAACGTTATGCTGGTCCCTGGAGCGAGCTGGCTTTCTAGAGACCTCGTGACCCCTCCCCGAAAATACACATTGAGTGCTGGTATCCCCATCTGGGGGGGGGGGGGGGCGTTGCTCTCCTGGTCGCGCACGCTGGTCCTTTGAGCGAGCTGGCTTTCTGGAGGCCTCGTGATCCCTCCGCCATGCCTGCTCGCTCTGC